TTACATTTTTCTCCTTTACATTTTTCTTTATTGAATTTATCACAGCAAGAAACAATATTCATTTGCTATCTTTAATTCGTTTAAGGAAGCACTTTCTTTGATAATCTTATAGTGATGTTATTAAATAATAATTATTTAAAAAAATATTAATTAACCATTGGAAATTAAAAGAAAAGGAAAGAATAAAAAATTATTCATTTAATGGGTTTTTCTAGAAGGACACAATATTTTTTTAGTTATTATAATTTTAATATGTATGAAATATTTGTGGATGCCTATTATATTCTTGTATTCTTTGGAATATTCTAGGTTTAGGGTTTAGTGTTCTCTAAGAAAACCCTAACTATTGTATATGTATATATATCTCCTCTTTTATAGAATAATACACACAGATTAATTCTCTCTCAATCTCTCATGTTTCTCCTTAATTCACAATACGTTATCAGCACCAAAACTTTTTACGCATGCTAGAGATTAAATTTGATAGACCTTTGCGTTAAACGATTCATCGAGGATGTTTTGTGTGAGCAAGTCGGCACAACAATTGAAGGGAATTTAAATTCCTTAATGTATGTAGCCAACATTAACCTTTCTTGGGTTTTTGTTTTCGTAACATTATGATCAATTTTCGATATAGGAGTTGGGCTCCAAGCTTTCATGCCACGTTTGGGTATAATGCTTTTTAATTGGATTATGATTTTAATTATTAAAGTTTTAATGGCATTACAACTGAATTATTTATGTGGATTTTATACTTTGAAGCTATTATATTTATCGAAATAGTGCGACGGTTTCGTGTCCTGTTCTCTAGCAAGATGAACAAAGACCTTTCATTTTTAATTTGCTATATTGTTATATTGTAGGCTCGGAGATTATAAGATAATTAAGATTGAGAAGTTGTAATTCGGCTATGCAGGCTACAACAAAATATCAAAAGTGTGAGTCGTGTGACAAGACCATCTTGAAACCAGGGAAGTTTCTTCTCAACTTTAAAATTTGTAAAGTCAAACTTATATTCATATGTGCCCCTGATTATGAATAATATTATTTTTATGTTGTTGTCTATGTGAGGAGTTAAGTTAGTATATGAGATTAACTAGACAGAGTAAGTTGGTTTGACTAATCTTTGTGAGTATTGAAGAAAAATACTTCCATGTGAATTTATTTATTTGTCACTAAATTGCTAGTTGATTTACATTACTTCTGCTAATATTTATTGTGTTCATTGCATTGGTAAATCGTAATTGATTGTGGAACTCAATGGAATTATTAAGCAAGGTGTATTTGCTAATTTTATTGTTTCATATGGTCTATTCCATTTAAAGATTGACGATCTTTTGGTTACATATTGACAATATTACTACTTGAAGATAACATCAAATTGGATAAACAATAAGAAACGAGATCCTTAATAAAGGGGGCAATATATAAATAATTATGCATGCCTAATACAAAGTTTAGCTCTCGAGCAATGTTTATCTAATCAAAAGATCAGATATAATCTTGCCAAGAGATTAACCGATAAATTTACAGAGTATATTCTTACTCTAACGGACTACCATACCCCATACTTGCTAAAGATTTGTTGGTTTCCATAATTAACAAGATTATATTAATAAGATAATATACTATGATTATATTTCTTATAACAAGATTACACTATATTATTATCATAATATTATGATTCTTTTTATTATACTATCAATGATATGATATTTTAATTAGTAGATTTTACTGCTATATAATTTAGTTATACCTTTCATTCAATGCTATTAATTTTGGTGAGTATCCTTATTACTCGTATTAGCTTAACATTAATAGGGAATTCAGAACAATTGATCTTAATCTTTGATACATTAATTTAGTGTATTCATGAACTTAAAATATGTATAATTGCTAGAAGTATATCATTTATTTTTCAGTTAAAGGTCTAAATAAGACTCGTTATATCTCTATGCTTGATAGCTGAATTGAAAGGCTCGATTTTACAAAAGACCAGTAAGCAAGGTCGTACAAAGTTTGTTATGTATGTAATCCACATGCGGTAAAAATGTGAATTTTGAACTTCTGATCTATTTGTTAAATGTTTCCGTGAACATTTGTTATGTAGGGGTAGCATATTTGTTTCAACTATTTATACATATAGGAGCTATGTTTATTCTCATGTGATATACGTCCTGTAATATAAGAGTTGTCAACTGTAAAGAATTAATTTCTCTAAAATGTTTTACATAAGGCATATGACTTGTAAAATTGTGGTAATGTATATGCTGAATTATGTGCTACATAAGTTTTATGTATGACATTGATATGTTGAATCATGTGAAATATCTCAAGTATGATTTTTATGATGACATGTTAGTAATCTTATAAGTAAAACCTATTATGAAACATACTGCCACGATTTTTCAGAGAGTTTTATGTATGACATGTTAGTAATCTTCTATCAGGAAAAGAAAAATTATTGAAGAAGTGATACAATCTGATAACTCTCTAGAAGAGATTATGTTTAGTAAAATTGATATGTACCATGATTATATAATAATATACTACAGAAGAGTATAAAATGTCGAACAAGCTTAGCATGTATCAAGATTATAGTCAAAGCACTCCAGCAGAGTATGAGTTATTATTGGATTAGTTGATTGTTTTGCCAATTGTATATAGAAACACATGTTGGTGTTCTAATATCGCTACAACAAAATAAGGCAAAGCTAACAGTGAAAAACCATTGCCTAATATAAAAAAAGTGTTTCCTTGTAGCTAAGGCAACACATATGAGGTGTAGTTTATGCCCCCGTTATCTATTCATAAGGCAACACATTTTTATTCAAAGACAACAGTTTTTAAAGCCAAGGTAAAATGATAGCTAAGGCAACAATTGTACAAAGGCAACATGTAAAAATTGTTGCAACGTTAGGATACAATTCATAACTATCTCTTTATGTTATACTATACAACAATTTTTCACTTGTTATATATGTTAGTAATAATACAAATGTGTTGTCAAATATCTTAAAGAGTAACACTGTAAAAATTAAAATAAATCAACGTGTGAACTCAACCATAGACAACAATTAGTCTAAATTAAAGGAAAGCTGAACATCAATATAGATGTAAATTGATTTTATAACATAATGCATGTAAACTCATCAAAATCCCAAAAAAAATATTTAATGAAATATCACTACATGATGTATCTATAGCCTTAAGATCCTAAATAGATTCATAATTTAGTACATTATTAATACTACTAATTGTTTGTATCTAATTCAATACAAAAGGAAGGGATTGTCACATCATAGTTTAACTTTTTGTCTCTGTCTTCAATATATATCTCACTTCCATGTAATTTACACCCTGTAATACCAATTAAATAACAAAGTTAAAGAATAATATAGTTTGCAAAAATTAAGGAAATAATTCAAATTCTAAACAAAGATAAAGCATGACATAAATTTCATAATGTAGCTAAAATAATTCAGCATATATTTACCCGAGTTAAGCAAGAAGTTAAACTACTTTAATACGGAGCAGCTGGTGGCTAGAGGTGCGCCTGCTAGGCAGTTGCTATTGCAGGTTGGTGCATGTGCGGCTTTCTACATGCTGTGATAAAAGAGGGAATTGAAGAACTCAATGGAAGCACTTTAGTCACCATTCACTAATGTACAGTTGGCTATTTGATATGCTAATGGCCGATGAAAAAGCATGAACGTCTCGTGCGAAGAGTGATAAGAACGGGAAGAAAAATAAGCCAATGATTGAGAGTTTTGTTTAATAATTATTGGACTATCTTTCAACAGTTTTCTAATCAATAATGTCACCATTAGCTTATGTGAGGTTGTTCTGCATAATAATTTCAAACTGGGTTACCAAATATATAAACAAAACTGAGGTTGATCATATAGACCTTTTATAAAATAAAAAGATCTTTGCAAATAATACCTCATGAAGGGTTCCATCAGTACCCACAACAGTTATAGCATTAGCAGTTTGGCACCCTCCCTAATAGCCTATTGAAATAAGACTGGAAAATAAAATCACTACAGCTAACAAAAATAGAATATAACAAATTTTTTTCCTTGAGAAGTTATCAGAAGTTATACCTCACTTATTATATCAGTTGGTGGCTGAGACGTGACGTAAGTCACATATCTGACCAAAATAAAAGTACCTTCAGAAACCAGCAAAGGTTGTATAAGGAGATGCAAAATGCATGATATTCCCAATAATGATTAATAAGATGTCCAAAGTATTAAGTTGTTAAGTCAGTAAAGTACGAAATACAAGATTAAATGACCAATTTCAACAACAAATTAGATGACAAGACATGAGAATTCCACTAGTGTCTTTGCCTCTTTGACTCTAGTGTCTTTAAAAATACTAAAGCAATGATTGACTTGGTGCTTTCAACAGAGCAACAAGAAAATTTCAGATTTCTCCATCTACAATTATGTAAATTTGAGCTAATCATTTTGCTACGACTTATAGGCATATTGTGGTAAAGATTCATTCAATATTGTTCAATATCAAAGTAACAACGAACATTGGAATCAATCTCAGGACTTTACAAGAAAAAATATACCGGTATTGAGAATCTAATGATTTGATCAAATCACGAGTGGCTAATAAAAATCCCTGAGGCGTGGGAATATTCATCCATATGGACAATATTTTTGCCTCACTCTTGATATAGTTCAAATCCAGAGAAATAGGGATATTATCATCTCTCTTGAACAAGCACCAAACTAAAGCATCAACCTCTTCGATATAACAACATATTACAATACTAGAATGATATGAAATCATCTTAACTCTAAAAAATGAAAGCATCATGACAAGGAGAAGCTACAAGATATAATATTTTCATTAATCATGTAACATGAGGAATTTATTTAGCATCCTAGCAACCTGAGCTTACTTAATTAAGTCAAGGTTTCATTGTAAGATAAAATGTAAGTTACTTCCTTATTTTTTTTTTTGGGGGGGGGGGGGGGGGAGGGAGGAGGGGCTCACATAATATGGAACCCAATGTCCAAAGCTCCAATTAAACATTTTAAAAAATACAACCAAAATCAATTAAATTATCAATATTTTCATGAATGAACTACTACTATTAGAGGAGTAAATACTCTGAACAATTATTATTTAGAAGCAAACATGACAAAGTAACTCGCATCAATATTTTCCTTAAATTTATAATAAAAAAAGAGCACACCAAAGATAGTGCGTGTATTCTACTCTTGAAAGCTAAAGTGGACTTGCCAACTTATTAATGTTTTAAATTGCAATTTCAACAATATTTTTCATAAGACTGCTACAATCGTGTGGCATAAAACAATTGAATGGCAAAAGAAAAGTAGAAGTTAGAGTCTTAGAGACTTACGCAACACAATAGGCCAAATTCAAAACTACTATAACAGAAAGATGTAGATAACAAGAGGAGCAGGATTATCACGAGCCCATTGATTTTTGGTTTCTGAAAAAGCAAGAAACACAGACAATTAGGAAAAAAAAAACCTTTGAAGCAATCAACCTTACATTCCAGAAGATTAATTGCCATTCAGATTTACCTTGGTCTAGTTTTTGCGACAAGCACAGAAAATTTCGGTTAATCCAATAGTTTTTTTCGGTACTTAACAGGGTTACAGGACCAGGACATAGTACTACAAATTCAAATCCTTCAATCATCCAATAATGGGTATGTGTCAAGATATAACCCCTATCCTCGAATTGAAAGGTATACAATCACAAACTAGACCACGGAAAACATTCACATGAATCTTGCAAGATCAGAACTCAAAATCAATAGATACACCATAAACCCAACACAGTTAATCTTGTTGCAATTACTTGAGTACTTGAGAACATGGCAAAGGGGAGGACAAAAACAACTTAAAAATAATGTGAGAGGTGTTAGTATCACACTATCACAAGGTCTAGTTTCCCCACTGCTGAAACAACATCAGAAAAATAGAGATACAGGTATGAGTAACACCCTATCACAAGGTCTAGAACTCTAGATTCCCCGCTGCTGATCAATCACATACGAAGTATTTAACAACACTTAGATACAGTAGATACAACTCATCAACATCTTAATCCTTCATTGTGAAAAGGTAACCATGAAGAGGCCAATACCTGCAGCTGAAGCAAAAGGCCAAGAGAATGACAACAACGTATGAGTATTTTTTTTCATTGTTGTTCTGCAGCCCTTTCTGTTTTGAGCCTGAATAAGCCTCCAATATATACTAATAAATTGACACACATAACAGTCACACACAACCGCAACACAACAACAAAAATATAGCAGTCAATCACTAAATACTAAGAATTAGAGATAGAATTCTTGATTAAAGTAAAAAAATTGAGGCAAAATTTGAAATTTGATTATCCCTTGACCTTGTTGAGCTGCTAAATGATATTTTGCCTATAGTTCAGTAAATGCAGAAATAAGAAATGAACTTTAATTATCAATGACAATATGAATTCGAATTCCATATACAATTTAATCTATGGGGAACTTAGATTACTAATTGCTAATAAAATACGAGTATGTGTAATTAATATTTATATAAGATTGTGAAATCAAAACAGCACCACAACAGCCCCAACAAATACAATTTTTCTTTAATTAATTTGAAATTATTCATGAAACCTAATTTTCTTGGTTTTTATTAGGTTTTTAATCTTGCATTTTTAATTAAAAACAAATCAAGTAATTGACAACAACAAAATTCAATTCGATTGTTAGGGATTTTTTTGAATAAAGAAAAGGGATATTTACAAGAGACCTAATTCGAAAATTTACATACCTCGCATTGAACCTCGATGGAAAGTACTTTTGCTAAATTTCAATCCAATTCGAAATTAATCATGTAACAAAAAGCAATTCTGATTGAAATCATGCATGGAATTGAAGGAGTAGCCCCGATGATGATTATCAGATCAACGCCGATGATTACATCGGGATCCTTTGAAAAACAACAACTCTAATCATTTGTGCCGAGAAAAATTATAACTCCGGTGATCTCCACATCAGATTATTACTGTTGCGATTGGCGACTTAGACATGGGTGGTAAGGCCGACAAGGGTTTTTTCCGAAATTTGATTTGTTCCCGGTGCGGTTTGCATTTTTTTCAAACCACACCAATCGCATCAAACCGCACCGCAAAATGCAGTTTGGTGCTGTGTAGTTTGCAGTTTAGCCATATATTTTTTTAATTATAATTTAATTTATAATTTAAATTAATTTATAATTTATTTTATTTTGTAATTATTAATTTATAATTTAAATATTTAGCTTTTTTTTTAACTTTTAATTAGCTAATAGTAAAAAATTACATCATATTTTTAATTTATTTTATATATATATTAATAGAATTAGTATAAAATTGGTATAAAGGTTTGCGGTTTGTGGTGCAGTTTGGTCTAAATGTTTTGGAAACCTCACCAAACCACAAAAGTGCGGTTTAGTCATTTTCGGAAACCGCACCGCAATTTTCAAACTGCAAACCGCACCAAACCGCAACCTCGAGATACTGTCTTCTTCGAGTCTGAGACCTTACTTTTGCAATTACTCGCGGTTTGGTACGGTCTAGACCGCACTCTAAACAGCCCTAATCAAAGATGATGAGTTTTTGTAACTGGCCTTTTGGCTCTCCAAACACACACAAAAAAAAAAAAAAAAAAAAAAAAACTAATATTTGGTCATACTCTGTTTGACTGAGTTTTTGTAACTGGCCTTAGCTATGCCCGTTACTAATGCTAATATATTTGTAATCTGAATTGGTTATGTCAGTTATTTATACTCTTATATAATAATTGACGTAATATATGTCAATTACTAATGGAGCTTAATGAGGTTTTTCTACTAGTGTACTCAGATAGAATTTTTCTTTATTTTCCTTGAAAATCACCTAAAAATTTATATTAACGAGATACATAAGAAAAATAATGGAGTAACCCATGATTTTCTTTTAAACATTTAATTAGGTTAAACATCATATAGTTGGAAACACACCGACTAATGATGTGTATTCAATGAATTGATGTCATAAATGATAAGTGATATATATTGTTAGGCGACAATTATAATGTCGTTATCTTTTGTAGCAACATTTTCTAAACATGTTGCCTTAGGCAAGAGAAAAGCAACACTTTAGCTGATTGTTGTCTTTAGTGATCTATAGAAACACTTTTTTAATTGTTGTACAAGGATTTAGTCTTATTATTTTGGTTTATAGTAACATTTTAAAATTGTTGTCTTAGGTTATCAAGGGTAATAGTTTTTTTTAGTGTTGCAATTTTAGGTGTTGCCTATTCTCATTATTTTTGTAGTGCGGATCACATCACTTTGATGGCCATGCATAAAATATGTTAAATAAAGTAATCATTAGTGTTGGAAAACTATTCAGAAAGTGATTGGATGTGATGATTAAATTAAGCCATTCGGGTTTAATAATTACCCGTTTTTGAAAACATGAAGTTTCATTTGATATGAACAATAATGTGCTGACGCTCTCTCATGTTAGATATATGAAATGAATTGAATGACAAGACATAACGTTGAGATTGAGCTATATTTGAATTGTGATTTAATAGTTTGTTTTGAAGAAATTTCAAGAGATTATATACTAGTTTTGAACAATTTTGCATGTGAATACGAACAAGTAATAAGTGGCCAGAAGCTCACTGAAATTACTTTTGTGTGTCGAGATTTTGAGTAACTAGAAACTCATTATTAAAGTAACGTATTTGGAGAATTAGATTATCACCATATAGTAGCTTTACATACAAGTGATTTATCTCTTGATTGGGGCTATTTTATGTCAGCACATAAGAAATAAAATAAGAAAATAGACAACTGCACAATTAATGATCCCCATATTAATATTAATCTCTAGAAGAGAACACAATTTCATAATTCTCCAGAAGAGATAGAAATTTGTTGAATATGATTATCCTACGAGATGAAATTTGTTGCACATAAGATTATATTCTAAGTTGGTGAAGAATTGCCCCAATATTTGAGATATTTTTCCAACTTAGGGGGAGTAGAATTGAAGTAAGTTGGCAAAATTATAAAATTATAATTAGTTGATCCCTTTAATGATACTTTGTAAAGTTACATGCCAACTTTTGTATCAACATATGTTGCACATATATAATTTGATTTGTATGTCGTTATGACCCATCTAGAGGCATATAGAGATATATTTTGGTTATTTTGGTAATGATATTATGTGCATACATTAAGATAGATCTTGCCAATTTTTCTTTGAATCACTACACCTGAAGTGTAAATTGTATGATCGGTTCCAATATAAATATGTGATATATGGGCAGATAGTGCAGTTGATACTTTTAAAGTATAATAATAGTTAGTATATTAATACCATAGTGTGAGAAATACCCTTGATAGGTGGTATAGATATCTGAACTATAATAGATGGCCTATGAAAAAAAAAATTATAATGTTACCGATTGGAGATGTATTTAGATATCATTGTAAAATAGCATGTGAAATTGTATCTTCTTGAATTTTATAATACTGGTATCCTATGGAATCGACGAATAATATGCATATGCATGATAAAATGGACTAGTGAATAAGGGATCTAAAATATATGTCCATTTTGTTGTCGACATAATGATAATGATAATGATAATAAGTTTATCTTGGACCAGAAGTCCAATGAAATATGGATTTTTAAATCCACACTGTATAGTGTCTTGCATTATTTTGAGTCTTATGTCCATGTGCATGCATGAGTCATAGGTTAATGGATTATTTATTGCATGTTTATGAAGTTGTTAGATGCATTGCTCATTGTATATTTTGTTCAATAATATCATGATTTTTATATCTCATATTGCATGCACTAATTTCTACATAATAATTGTGGTATGTGTGAATGTTCGTCCAAAGTATAGTAAGGCGTATTTATAACTTTGATGGAAAGTTACAAAGTCATATTTATATGGGCTTACAGTTGTGATGAAATTATTGATGACGTCGATTTAATAGCATGTTATGATTCATGTAAAAATAGTTCTTGAAGAACTTATATACGACGTGTTTGAATACCCAGCCCTACAAATTTTATATCTTGAATATTGCAAATATTATTAAACTCCTGAAAAGTTAATATGACTACATCATTGATATCTCAACCTGAAGTTTGAGTATGTGAGATTCAATCAATATTTGTATTCATTAGCGAACTCTCATATTAAATATGAAATTTCCGAAGAATAGAATTGAGATATCTTTCGACGAGAATATTTTTCATACGGTCCAGAAGAATCATGAGTGATGTATGTGGGTAGTTATCTTATAAAATTGGACAATTAGATCACGTGTTGTCATAAATTATGATCTATTATTAATCATCAATTTCTATGAAATATGTCAATTGGCCTCCAGAAGAAGGCATAAATATAATGATTAAGGCAACTTTAAACAGAGATTTCGAATGAATTGTGGACAAACACATGTATTATTATCATAAGTATGGTGATATGAACACTCACTTGTTCGCGTGAAGATTTGAAGGGAGGATCGAAGATCAAGGAATGGTACTATTTTGCGTCATGTGAGAAGATCTCAAGCTATACATTCATCAGGGGAAGAAAATACGTGCTGCACTCTTTTTCCCTTAACCATGGTTTTGTCCCATATTGAGTTTTCCTGGTAAGGTTTTTAGTGAGGCAGCATCGTGAGCGTATTACGAAGAATGATGTACTCTTTTCCCTTAATTAGGTTTTTATCCCACAGGGTTTTTCGTAATAAGGTTTTAACGAGGCGCAATCTTCGATAATGGACATCCAAGGGGGAGTGTTATGAAATATTTGTGGATGCCCATTATATTCTTGTACTCTCTGGAATATTCTAGGTTTAGGGTTTAGTGTTCTCTAAGAGAACCCTAACTATTGTATATGCATATATATCCCCTATTTTATAGAATAATACACACGGATTAATTCTCTCTCAATCTCTCATATTTCTCCTTAATTCACAATATAATATACATTTTAGCATAAAATTGTTAAGGAGTATATTTAAGGCAATGTTAGTCAATTCAACAATAAACCTTTTATACTAAACACTTAATATATATGTCAGCATTATATCATCAAAGGTAAACTTGAATAATAAGCAACTAATTAAATGTACATCTATATGAATTTTGCATAAAGAAATACTGAAAAGTTTTTAAAGATCTATTTGATATAATATCTTGTCCCTGGGTGATGGAGAATGGATAACTCTAACTCTATTTCATATTTTTATGCCTCTTTTTAGGGATATTCCTAAGGCAATGCATATTGCATAAGGGGGTATCGCCCAAGCCGAGGTCTAGCATGGGATCCTAAGATCATTACCAATTCCAAATTTATTATTTGGAAAAAAAATAGACAAGCAATTTTTTTTTAAAATAATAGCAGCACTACAGCGGCATACACCTGATGAGTATATCATGTATTAAGGGTGGCTAGGTACTCAAGTGGACCTATTCCAAAAATACCCAGGGTCTAGCACGGGATTCTATGATCCATTTTATTAACAATTCTAATTTTATTATTCGGGAAAAAATAGACAAGTAATTTTTTTTTTAATAATAGCAGCACTGCAGCATACATTTGATGAGAATATCATGTATTAAGGGTGGCTAGGTACTCGAGTGGACCTATTCCAAAAATTATGTGGATCATGCTCATGTTCTACACATAAATATTTCCAAGTATTAGTTATTCAATTTTTATTTTTTTTATTTATTTTTTTGACAAAGTTATTCAAACTTATTAAAACAATTTGTTATGAAACCTACATAGAGCCTTTATTCAAAACAACTAATGTATTAGAATTATTAGAATTATTAGAACATCTCACGAAAACCCTAGCCTTCTTTATCTCTCTTCTCTCCCCTAAACTTTAGCCTTCATTGTAAATTTTGAAGGGGCTTCCATCGGATTTCATCGGTGGAAAGCCCCAATCATTTGTTTCTTTTAAGTTTCTCTTAATTCTTAGGTTATAATTATGTCTCCCTAAAAAGAAAGGGTTTATCTCCTTCGAAAAACAAAGTCTTTTCGATCTCCTTTGAATGAAAAAGTTTTTCGAACTCCTTCGAAAAGTCAAGGTGTTATTTGCGTTTGATAGGGTCTCCAGTTTTAA